AATTCTGCTAAAAGAAAAGAGAAGATGGGAGGAGAGGATTGGGGAGTGACAGTTAAAGGATACAGAATTTCCTTTGGAGAAGCCTAAAATGTGCTAAGGCTGGACATGATGATATGTGTCAATATTTCCTAACACTGGGAAGATTGAGGCAGGACGATTATTAGTACATAGGCCAGTCTGGGTTATATAGTAAGATCTTGTCTCTAAATAAATAAAAATTTAAAGCTGAGCACAGTGACTCAACCCTGCAGTTCTAGACACTTTAGAGGCAAAATCAGTTTGAGGCCGGCTCAGGCATTAAAAAGGTTGTAAGACTCCATCTCAAACAATGAATGGCTGTGTGCAGTAGTATACAAAGCAAAGAACAAATAGGACTGAAATCCAGGCTAGCCTGGACTTGAAAATAACCAACTCAAAAAGGGGCCAGTAGAGTAGCCCTTACTACATAAAACATTTGCCTAACAAGCAAGAGGCTAAGTTCAACCCCTGTACCATCAAAACATAAATAAACATTTTAAATGATAAAATGTTCTAGAATTGATTAAAGTGATGGTTGCTAACCCTCACTTAATTATACACTTTAAGTGGCTAGATTATAGCCAGGCTCTGATGGCTTATGCCTGTAATCCTAGCTACTCAGGAGGCTGGTATCTGAGGATTGTGATTCAAAGCCAGCCAGGGCGGCAAAGTCCATGAGACTCTCATCTCCAATTAACCACCAGAAAAACCAAAAGTGGTGTTCGAAGTAGCAGAGAGCTAGCCTTAAGCAAAAGAGCTCAGGGACAGCCCAAGCCCTGAGTTCAAGCCCCAAAACAAAAAGGCTCTATGGTATATAAATTATTTCAACCAAGTTGTAGAAGAAGGGGAAGAGGAAGAGGAAGGAAAAGAAACAGGAGACAGGAAGGAACCCTGTGTGCACCCTGGTTGATCAGACATTTTTCATGTTGTGCTCAGTGTTAGTTAAGTTTGCATGTGTACACATGGAAGGCAGATGAACCTTGCTATGTGACACAGGCAAAACTCAAAACAGAGACCCTCTGGCACTACCAGGGCTTTCCAGTTCTCTCTTTGTTCCTAATGTTGCCTGCACCGACAGCCCACCCGAAGAGGAGACCCAGACAACTTCTTCTCTTCTCCATCTGGACCTGGCCCGTAAAATGAGGGTCTCCTCGAGCAGCCCCGAGGTCAGCGCTTAGCCCACAGGCCATCTTGGCAAGCAGCCTGGCCCTACAGGGGACAATCCCATCCCACAAAATTCCAAGTACTAGGAACTCACCTTTCTTGCTTACAATCAACTTGTTTTTCTAAGACGCTGTTTTACTACCATAATTCTTGCTTGTGCTTCTACAGTAAACATAAAATGGTTGTGGGTATTTTGTTTGGACTTGGGGGTGGTTGTAAATAAAGGAGATACAGAAATTATAAAGAAAAGTCTTCTCTGAGTGCCTGGGTCTGGTGGCTTTTTTTCCAAACTAGAAGCCCCATCTCATGGTCCAGATCGAAATACAGACACATAACCCCAGGGCTCAGCAAATTTGCTTACTGCTTTCTAGAGCCCGTGAGCTCCTTTTGGGAAGGTGCACTTCATCGTATATACCAGAATGTCAAGGAGGGAACGTAGGTGGAGAGGGGTCTGGGGAGGTATCCTCCATAAAAATATAAACCATGTATTCACATAAAGATACCTTTCATCCAGCAGGGAAGTTCAAAGACAACCTTGGGTGTACATAGATCCAGGGGTTATGGCAGATCTGACATGTGACCCCAGGATCAGGCTGTATTTTCAGAAAAGAAGCAAATGACACAGACAGACTTATATCCAGCTTCCTTCTCTGTCACTCAGGAACTGGCAGGGATTCCTTGGGAATACTACGTGGTGCCATTTTAGTGATGACCTTGGATCAAGCCGCTAAGACTCCACCCCTGCCTGAAGACAGGAAATTTCCCAATTAAGATGTGGCCATCTAGATTGAAAAGATATGCACTGTCACTCACTGACTATGTGTCCTGGTGCAAGCACATTCAACTTCCCTGGGCCTTCCTTGCTTCATTGCAAAATCTAGATGCCACAGGTACCCACAGTGAGCTTAATGTGCAAACGAAGGAACAAGCAAGCCAAGTGGCCCGGCATTCAGCTCATGTGTGCCCTCAACCCTCCAAGGTGGCAGCAGCTGCTCCAGCATCCCACTCCAGCAGCAAGAAAGTAGGTACATAAGTGTACCCGGATCACATAAATCCTAAGCCTTTTTACATATGCTAATCCTTTCATTTCCCACAATGCCCCATAAAGACAGCTACTATTAACATGCCCACTGTATAAGCTGAAGAGGAAGCTGGGGAGCTAAGGTCACCGAGTATGCCAGTGAGTAGCAGAGCACTCACTGATACGGTCCCTGTGAGGCAGCAACAGGGAGGCAGGAAATCTGCTAGATGTCTACCTCCCAGAAGCATGGCTAAGGCCTACGGTGGAGCCTGGGAACACAGTGAAATGCCGATGAGGTCAAATGGGGGCAAGACCAGGATACCACATCCTAACAGGAAGGGAGACAAAAATTTTCTGGAGAGGAGTTTACAGAGGAATGTCTGAAATGGCAGTGCACCACTAGGACTGAGAATAAGAAAGCTTCTGCGTTGCCCTTCGCCTGAGCTCTGGTCTAAAAACCACAGCCCTTTCCTAATTTTTCTGCAGATGCGAGGCCTGAGCTACTCTAATGGAAATTTGCCTCAGACACTTACTGTTCCTGGTAATAAAAATGCCAGGACTCCTTTTCTTCTCATTATGAAGGGTCTCAAATGCCCAATTCAGAGCACACAGAAAAGCCTGCAGAGCAGTCAAGTCCCTGAGATCAGCCTTTCTGCCAGACTGGCACCGTGTAGACAAGGGTCTCTATAGTCAAGTTCTTACTTTCCAGGCCTGAGTATGTCATGGAGCCTGGCCCTGCCCACCTCGCCTAGCACAAATTGGCCCACAGCCCTCTCACCTTCTCCCTCTCCCTCCTTCTCTCTTCCCCTTCCTTCCCTTCCTCCTTCCCTCCCTCCTCTCTCATTACTACCTTAAAATAGTTGTACTAAAGGGTTCTAGTTTAATAAGTCTATTCATATGTACAATGCATCCTGATCCTATCACCCCTGTCATCTTTCTCTCCTACCCTCCCATCTACCCTATCCCAACAGTCTTCTTGGATTTCCAGTTTCCATTTTCACATATGTATTCACTATGAATATTATGATTTACCCACCATTCCTATTTCCATTAACCTATACCGCTGCTCCTTAATCCCCAACCCCTTAAGACATGTTTCAACTTCCTAGTATTTGTTTTATTTCACTGTCTGTAAGGGTTCAAAGGGGATACAGCATGGAATTTCACCTCTACATATACCATAATCAGTCTGATAGGGTATGTAAGCATACTGGCCCATGACCTTGAAAGCTGTCTCCTCCAGGGGTTCACAGTCCCTTCTTTTGGGGACCCACAGCCTCCCTCACCAAGGAAGGTGAGCACTGATCTTACAGATGGAAAGCTTCTGTTCTTATTTTTACACCAGTAATCAACTTCTTAGTTCTTCCCAGACAAGTCAAGGAAATGCTGAAATTTGGTACTGCCAGGAAAAGGAAAGGACCTTCCTGTAAACACAAGGACCTTGGGAAGGGTCTGATCTGTGAGTGGGTCTCCAAGAGGCTCAGAGTCCCTGGCACTGGCTGACAAGGTCTGCAGTGTGGTAAGCAAGTGGGGACCCCACTGCAGCCCCATATCCCAGGTGAAAGGTGATAACTTCTTCGGCACTTAGACTGAGACCTTAACTTCTTATCAGGGAGCAGAAGGCCTGTCTGATCTGGACCCTGCCTAACTTGCAGCTGCAGGACCTGGCACATCTCCCTCCAACTACATCAGTCTCCTTGAGGTACTTGGAGGCCTCTGCCCTGTCCAACTCATCTGCCTGTGAGGCTACCACCAACTCCACCCACCGGTGCTCCTTTGTACCCCTCAAGTCCATACTAAAATGTTATCTCTACAAAGAGAGTACCCTCAACTGCCCAATCTAACAGAGATGAACACCGCTCACTTCTCTGTCCCTCTTTTATTCTCTTCCCCAGCTTCCTTCCCACTCTCATTATTCACTTCCTTCATTGCATTCATTGTGCCAGTCCTGAGCCTGTTTGTCCCCCTATCTGTTCTTCATCCTCGCTTCTGTTTCCCATGGGGTGTCAGTTGGCATGAGTTCTCCCAATGGCAGACCCTGAGGGACCTGGAAGTTACAGACAGGGTAAATCCTCCTGCTTTCAGCTCTGCACTGGGCTCCAGTTTCTACTGAGAAGACCTCCAGACTTCCAACTTGCCCAGAGCAACCATACCCCAGGCTCCACTACACCACCTCTTTCTCTTGTCTTACCAGCCCCTTACTGTGCCTATCTCTTCCCCCCTATTTGGCTTCTCAGCTTCAAGACCTATGTAACATATTCCTTGCCTGAAAATCCTATTTCCAACATTCAAATGGTTTCTTTTGTTTGATTTTTCTGGATAGACCCCAGGGGATCCAGGATTTGGCATAACTTATAATTCTTTTATTAACTTATCCAGTTGCCTAATTTTTGTTCTCCACCCACTGTGAGTTCCACAATTGATCCAAACTGAATATTGTTACAATAGGACATTGTCCCAGCACATGGTAACTAATACAAATGTAGATGAGTCATACCAACCAGTAAAGCTAGTGCCTCCCCAGGAAATCCTCAAATTCCCAGCATGAACAGGGAAGTGCTATTTGGAAGTGGTATGTATTTCTGCATGTAATCTGTTGCATTTAAAACATCAGGAGAGAATGGGGTTTGATCTTTTCAACCAAACACGCCCCAAGACATTCTTCAGGAAGTAAGTGGTGAGTTAAGGGGTCTTGGTTAAGAAATGAACAGTCCCAGGGATGTGCTAGCCCTCTGAAGTACCCCAGCTCAGCACACAACAATACTACATACATAAAAGCCAAGTCCCAGGGACAAACCTTTTAGCAGTTTCCACAGACTTCTGCTCAGCCAGTTCCTTCTGCAGCTCCCGCTCCTTGGCTTCCTTCTGCCCAATGGGACAGTCCTCAGGCACGGTGAAGAGGGAGAGGGCATCTTTGCTGTCCTCCTCTCTGAGCACTTTAGCAAATACTTTCTCCGCCAGGAGTCGAACTTGCTCATCCACTTCTGAGATGCTCAGCTTGGGGAATTGGCGTGGCATTTCGGCTAGCAAAGAAATAATAAGTGTGAGACTGCATGCTTTGGTCCCAAGTAGATACACTCTAAGTCCCTAGAATGGGAAGCAGGAGACCTGTCCTCTACCTGGTCCTTGGCTCAGATGTAGATTCAAATGCCAAATTTCATAAGTAATCACGTATGAAGTATATAAGATCACTCACATTTCATTGAGAAAGGAAATGTTCAGAAGTCAAAGAATGAACTGCTCAACCATATGTTTCCATTTTCTCATCCTTTGGGGAATGTACAGCATAAAGTAGCTCCGCTGCCTTTGCTTCCAACACTGAGAAGGGTCAGGAGAGAGTTCAGAAGTTCCCCTCTCCTCTTCAGGAATGGTGTGAGGGCCACAACATGAACAAAACCTTCTAAGACCTTAGCTTAGTACTCTGAATGAAGCAGTGAGCTTCAGGCCCACAAGATTATAACAAAGCCCTGGGAAACACGTTTGCTGAAAGAAGGAATCTGTGATTACAGTTTTAAGGGACCCCTCAGTCTTCAAGGATCATTTAACAAAATACCTAGCAAATATAATGAAGATTTTGAACAGAGATACTGTTTATTTAGCTGAAAACTCCCTTTGTCAAAGAAGCTTTGCCTGCCTACCTCTCTGCATCTTGGAAGCTGTATTAATCTTCCCTCCTTCCTTCCTTCTTTCCCCCCCCTTTCTTTCCTCCTTCCTTTTTCTTCTTGTTCCTCTGTGTCTCTTTCTTTGCAAACACTTGCATAGCACTTACTGTACACACTATGCAACTGTTAAAGCTCTGTTACTCTTACTGTTCCCATTTTCCAGATGAGGAAATAAAGGCATACAGACCAAACTCACCCAGGGTCCCACTTGCAATAGGTTGGCAGAAGTCTATGCTGTTCTCGGCTTTTTTTTTTTTTCCTTCCTGGCCCTTTCCTCACTGAGTCTCTACTTTGGGAACCTGAACTGGGTACCCAGTTCCACATCTGTGCCTTAGTCACTACACCACGCTACTGAACTGTGTCCCTTTGGGCCCAGGACAGGGTTTCCTCACAATATCCCTCATAAACACAACACTTACAAAATGAGTGCATATCGCCACCTTTTCTCTAAGAAGCCTCCACTAGAAACAGCTCTGGAAGAGAGGTTCCTGACCACCTGTTACCACAGTTTCTTTAAGGCTGGTTTAAGAGACAAATGGTTTTACTGACCATTTTGTTGACCAAGGAGAGACGGTGCCTTGTTACAGTCTAGCAGAGAGAGGAAGCAATTACAGGGGTGGGGGCTCACTGGGCCATCTTAGGACACTCATTCCCTGACCTCACAAATTTTCTCATCTGTGAGATTAAGTTATGCTACTAAATGATCTCTGAGGCCCTGTCAGTTCTGAGAGGCATAATTCTAGGTGCACAAGTTTCCGGCGCCTGAGGCTCCCTGCTCTGTTCTTCTCTGTGGTAGACAGGGCTAATTGATGACACAGGCAGGAAGGAGAAAAACAGGCTAGTAATGGGCAGTCAGAGCTATGTCTGTGGGCCTTGACTCTGATACTCATTTCCCCCTCCCTAGGTACCAGGGCCATGCTTTTCCTAGACATCTTTTTCACCCTCAGGGAGTTGGACAGGTGGGAGCTGGTGAGGAAGAGCCAACTCTACATGCAACCATGCCCAAGACAGCAAAAGCCTGGCCTCTACAAAGAGGAAGAGGAACAAAGCTGGCTGTGAAGATTTTTGTGTCCTGATGACAGAGAAAAGGAAGCTAAGGGACCATCAGAATAGAGACTCAAGAAGAAGGTGACGGGAGAAAAAGGTTGAAACAACTTAAAAAAAAAAAAGCAAGAATCAGAAAGCATGATCAGGGCAGAACAAAGCTAGACCCCATCCCCCAACACCAAATCTACAGGTTCAAGAGCATGTCATGTGTCATGTCACGGCTCTGAAACAGGCTCAGGTAAAGGGCAGCAAAGGCCGGAAAGCACCCCATAAGGTATCTCATTCTAGAAATCTAAAAAAATATCCGAATGAAAAAAATAGAAGTGTTTGCCTGCATCCTTTACATAAAGAGCTTTTCAATATCCAAATGACTGCATACCTACTTGCAATGAATTTTATAATTATGATGATGTTGCAACCACATCTCCTAAAACAAGATATGCAATATACAAAACCACAGCATGCTTCGACTACAGTGATCTGGAGATGCATTGCTTTATGTCCAGGGGCTGTGAGAGAGACACACTCAAAGCAGATATCATTCAGCCATCATGCCATTTTTACATAAATAAAGAATAACAGGGAAACGGATAGAAAATGAGGGAAAAAATAAAGCAAATTCCGTAATTCCAGCAGTTTGGGGCAGTTAGGACCCACACAGAAAGAAGCCAGCACAAAGAGAATGACATCACTGAGACACACACACCCCTTTCCCCCCACCAACACACACACACACACACACACACACACACACATACCTGTGGCTCCTACCCTACAAAGAAATGGGACTCCTCAGAAATGGGCATTTGGGAGAGTCCTTTATACACACATGGGAGTCCTCCATCTTGGATTCTTTAGCACTACTACCTTGCTCAAGTCAATCAAACATACTTTTCAGTATACATTTTTAACTTATATAGCTTAAATCAACCATCTCAAACTGGATCATAAGAGACATTGATTGCTTATTGCTGGTAAAACAAACAAACAAACAACAAACAAAAACAACCCGTGATTCATTATGGGGGAGATGTTGTATCTCATATCCCCCTAGCCCAGGTCCACCAGGTGCATTGAAGACCCCAGCATTATCATTGGACAGTTTCTTTAGAGAACTCACATGAATCACCTACAGAACTTCAGCTAGTGTGTTAACAACTGAGGAAAACTTCAACTATCCTCAGGATGGACTCCGTGATGCAGGTGGGAGTTGAGCTACCTATGTGGGTCTTGCATATCTGTTGTCTTCTGGCCATCCTAAACACAGAGTTCCCACCTTCCAGTCATGCCCTGCAGCACTACTCTCCCCTCTCCAACACCTGGCAGGCCAGGCCTGCCAAGGAAAGCCCACTCTGCAAGTGCCAAGAAGAATTCAGTTCCAGCTGCCTGGTCATGTCTGCCTTTCAACCATTTGTCAGCCCAAGCCAATAGGCTTGCCAGGCTTAACTATGAATTCGCCAGCATCAGTCAGTTAGTAATACAGCTTATCTCATTGTTACAGGCAGCAGGGTCTGATGAGCATCAAACAAGTATTCCCAGGTCAGAAAGCTCTAAAATGCCACCAATTTCAACAAACAGTAGCAGTCTCTCTAGAAAGGAAGCCCCGTGCCACTGAAATCCTTCCTCACGCAAACAAAGCTATTTCCTGCTCTTGCCAGATGCTCACTGACAGAACGCATGACACAGACCTGAGCCTGGCGCTGGAGGCTCCATGACGACTCCTGAGATTGCCACACAGACGACCTGCTCCAGCCAGATACTGCCTGCTGCCCAGGAGGCTGAGCTGAGTCAGTGTAAGAGCAGCTAGCTGGGTCCCGCCTGCTGCTGCAGCTGGGGTGGGAGGTCTCTGCTTTGCCTATCCGTGAGCAGGAAAAGTCTTGGCTGGAAATTCTCCCATGACTATGAAACACAAGTGGAAAATTTCCAAGAGTCCTAATGCCCCAGGTGATGCTGGTTATCCAAGGCAAAATGGCTGTGGTATCCTGAACACCATGTCCTGGCCTTGCTCTCAGGCCTCAGAAGAAACTAAAGCAGCACTGCTGGCCAGAAGAGCAGGAGCAGCAGCAGCAGCACACTGGGCTATCCTGGGAGCCACAGAGATAAGCCATCCCACCCTCCAACACCCAGCTCCTGAAAGCCAAGCCCAGCCCAGCAATACCATCACCTCTGCTGCTTCCAGTGTGAGTCCCACTTAAGCCTTAACCTGACCACCAGTTGTTTTGGTAATCCATTTGCTTGGCTTCTGGGTAGAAGTTGGGACCAGAGAGCAATAAAGTCTCCTCATCAATGGCATAGCCAGCTCTACTTCCTCTCAGAAGACTCCCCCCCACACACACACACCAGACACATAAAAGCACCCCTCCTGAAGCTGTCTGAAGGCAGAACAGGAAGCTCTTCGTCCAGTTGCCAGTAACACCCTCTCTCCTCCCCTCCCCTTCCCCTCTAAAAGAGGAAAGGCCCATGAACCGCATCCTCCTTGCCCAGAAAAGAAATAAGACTCAAGGGGAAGGGATGGCCTCGGAGCAGATGGGGACAGCAGATAGGGCAGTCCCCTCCTGGGCCTTCCCTTCTTGCCACACATCACAGGTAACTAGGCAGACTGGCCAGCTCTCCTGGACCCCTCCCCATTACACCCACAGAAGTTCAGCCTTGCCCACCTAAGCCCACCCTTCACCATCCCTTTCTTACTGCTGCTCACATGGGCCTCCAGTCTGAGATCCTCGGGAACAAAAGCTGGACTCCACCGCCCTTCTGCCCCAAGTGACACCCAGAGGCCAAGCAGAGTGGATTACAAAATCACAGGCACGTAACTCTGTGCCCTTGAGAATAGAAAGGCTCAGAAGAGACAGGCAGCCTCCAGTGACTTCCACAAACTGTGTGGGTCTGGGAAATAATAATCATGAGCAAAATGGCTATTTCAGTAGCACTGCAAAAATCCCATGGAGAAGAGTCCAGAAAGGATGGGTCAGTTGTTTACCAGGAGGCTAGTTGTCGCCCTGTCTTGGCCCTGAGTCATCTTCTCATGTCCAATCAAGAGGCTGTACCTTGCTGAGCCCACATCCTAACTCTTATGAACACGGAACAGGATTACACCATTGACACATGATCTTCAGCTGGGCTTTAGCTACCCAGAGATTACAGTCCACCTGTTCACACAGCTGTTTCATAAACAGTGTGATCAGCAGGCTACAAGTAACCTAGAAGGAGGGTAATATGTATTCATTAAATAATTAAATGGACATACAGCATAAAAGAGAAAATAATCCAGCCTTTTGTATTGTTCAGCCAGATGGAAGAGAGGATTCATGATTTCTTCCACTGGTATGTTAAGGATCAGTTGGATAGGAGAGCAGTTGGGGTATCCTAACCTGTGGATCTAAGCCCAGTGCACTCAGTAATTCTATTCTCCACCTTGAATGAGATCCTTAATAGCCTTAGTCTAAATACAGTACAGCCTAGAACCTAAAAGGACAGATGGCCTGAAAATATTGCTTCCCATAGTTCCTCATGTGGAGATTCATCACAATTTCTACTGATTGATCACCTGAGAAGTCTTGCAGTAGAGAAATCTGTTTGGGCTGGGAAGGTGGCTCAGTGGTAGAGCACTTGCCTTGCATGCCTGAGGCCCTGGGTTCGATTCCTCAGCACCACATAAGCAAAAAGAAA